AATCACATCTTCTGCTATTATGTTACAACAAACATCAAAATGAGGAAGCCTTCTTTGGAGCTTGGCCACCAAATTCTTGTCCTTCAATCTGATTATGCAGTTCTGCCACCCCTGATGGCCAGCTTGCAGCAAAGTCCATCTAGTAGCTTCCAGCAATGCACCTTCCTTGCATCCCTCATAGCTCAAGCTTGATTTCAGAAAGATGGTCTCTTCTCCCTCCTTCTCTGCTTTGCATGAAACCTCCAGCAGATTACATGAAGAGCTCAAGGCACTGACAGTTAGGCTCCACTGTCCTACCTTCTTAAAAAATTGCTCCTCAGCATTACTGAAGTTTGTCTCCTTCTCCCTTATCTTGATCTTCATCTGATTGAGCACATTTGAAAATTCAATCCATACAGCCCTAGCACCCTCTGCTATCTGCCATTCATTCATTTTTACTTTCTGAAAAATCCACAAATTTCGAGTTTTCCACAGCCACCAAAGGATATAACAAGATAAACTGATTCTGTCTCTAAGGCTAGTGGTATGAACAGCATCACAAACATCACTCCACCAACATCTGAATTTAGGATTTGCAGTCTCCAGCATGGTCCAATTAATGCCACTCAGTTTTCACACCTTTTTTGCTCTAACACATGAAAATAAAATATGATCTAGATCCTCAGCTTCTATCCCACAAATCTCACAGGTGTTGTCATTAATGACCTTCCTCCACATCAACTGATCATTAGAACCCAGAAATCTATACCAACACTTCCACAGGAAGTGTTTTATTTTGTTTTTAACAGGGAGAGACCAGGTAAACTTCCACCAAGATTTTCTAATATTGTGGCCCCCACTAGAACTCGACTCAAACTTGCCCTTGTCAGCCTCTAAAGCAAAAGCATCATAAGCTGACTTAACATCAAATTTTCCATATTTCCCAAACAGCCAAATCAATTTATCTCTTTTCCCAGTTTTAGAGACAGGGATTTTTAAAATTATATCAGCCTCATCAGGTTTGAAAGACTGCATAATTATATCCCTATCCCACTGTCCACCACCCTCAATCATAAGATCACTCACTCTAGACAATCTGTTCCTGTCCCTTTCAAAACAGCAAGTGGGTATTGGGTTTAAGGGCCTAGGTAACCAAGGGTGTTCCCAGGTAGATATATGTTGCCCATCACCCACTTGATATCTTACCCCCAACTTCAACCACCTAATGACCCCTACCCAACTCCTCCACAACCATGAATCACCATTTCTAGGAATCACATTGAAAATATGAGTGTTGTGGAAATATTTACCTTTGAGGACTCTACTTATAAGCAGATTAGGGCAAGTGATAACTCTCCATAACTACTTCACAAGTAGGACCTCATTAAACAAAACTAAATTTCTGAAACCCAAACCCCCACACTGTTTAGGTTTGGCTAAAAGATCCCAGCAACCCCAATGAATCTTACCAGGGGCGAATTTAGATGTATGAGTAGGGGGGCAATTGCCCCCCCTCAAATTTTAATTTTTTTTACTATTAATATTAAAAAATTAATTTGTTCCCCCCTTTAAATTTAATTTTGCACCCCCAAATTTTTTTGTTCTTAAACTTCACTTACAAGAACAAGTAAAATTTATTTTTGCACTCCTAAATTCTTTGTTTTTAAACGTCACTCACAAGGACAACTTGTCCACAATTATTATCAATTAACAATTCAACACTTTTTTTATTTTACTATTAATTTTGTATATCAATTATTATCATTCTATAATTTTAATTGGCTCATATAAAAGACTTCAACTCTCTTTTATTGTTAGGGCTGGTATTTTTATTCTGAAAACTGACCGAACCGATGAGAAAATAAACCGAACCGACTTATGTGTAATACGGTAAACCGAAAACAGGTTACCGAAATGTTATCAGTTCGGTATCGGTTCTAAACCCATCGGTTCTAAACCCATTATGGTTCGATTTTGAACCTATTATGTTATGTCTTTTGCCCCCTCTCAACGAATTTTCTGGCTTCGCCCCTGAATCTTACTACCACCCTGCTCCTTAGAGCCCCACCAAAAATTGGCCACTGCCCTGCAGATATCCTTACAGATACTAACAGGGAGTTTGTAACATGACATAACATAGGTAGGAAGAGCCTGTAGGACTGATTTTATAAGAATCTCTCTCCCAGCAGAAGACAAAAATGAATTTTTCCAACAAGAAATTCGAGAGAGGACAACATCTGAAACATATTTAAAAGTATCCCTCTTGGATCTACCTATCCCTAGGGGAAGACCTAGATATTTGGAAGATTCCACACTCTGAATGCCATTCAAGATGTTACAGATTCTCACTTTGGCAATTAAAGGGGTGTTTTTAGAGAAAAAGATAGATGACTTATTCATGTTGACAATTTGTCCAGAAGCAGAGCCATATTTGTTCAAAATATGAAGGATGAGAGAGGCATGATGAGCATCAGCATAACAAAATAATATTGTATCATCAGCAAACAAAAGGTGAGAAATAGCAGGAGAGTGTCTACTAATCTTGATACCATGATATAAGGACTGAGCAGAAGCATTATGAATAAGATTAGACAAAGCTTCCGAGAGAATAATAAAAAGATAGGGAGAAATGGGATCTCCTTGCCTAATACCCCTAGAGGGTTTAACCAAACCTAAGGTCTGACCATTGACATTGAAAGAAAAAGAAACTGTGTTAAGGCAGGCATTAATCCAAAACAAAAATTGGTCAGAGAATCCCATTTTTCTACAAACACAGAGCAAAAAAGGCCACTCAACTCGATCGTAAGCTTTGGCCATGTCAAGTTTGACCGCCATAACATTTAGTCCCTTTTCTTTTACTGTTGATAAAATGAAGACATTCATTAGCCAAGATAACATTATCAAGAATTTGACGGCCAGGGACAAAAGCAGACTGGTATTTACTAATACAAGGACACAAAACAGATTTTAACCTATTAGCAATGATTTTGGATATGGTTTTATAAATGACTGTACACAAAGCTATTGGCCTAAAATCAGCAACAACAGAAGGATCAGGTTTCTTAGGGATCAAAGTAAGAATTGTATGGTTTATACCTTTGGGCATGATACCTGATTCAAAGAAATTGATAACTGCAGCACAAAGATGGTCTTTAATGATTGGCCAACAACTTTGAAAAAAGCTTGGAGTCATTCCATCAATTCCAGGGGCTTTTGAAGGTTCCATATCTTTGATAGCCTCATATATTTCCATGACCCTCACAGGAGCAGTCAGCATCTGATTCATGTCATCAGTTATAGAGATAGGAATATTACTTAAATCACAGGCATCAATGTCAGGAACAGCAGTTGTAAATAAGTGTTTAAAGTAGTGTTCTAGTTCTCTGGTTATCTCTTGATCATTACCACATCTTCTGCCTCTATAGTCTCTAAGATTTCCCAGGCTATTGATTTTTCTTCTTTGATGAACAGTAGCCTGGAAATACTTAGTGTTCTTGTCACCTTCTCTAAGCCACTGAATTCTAGATTTATCTCTCCAGTACTTCTCCTTATCTAAATAGGCTTGATGAAGTTTGTTCCTCCAGTTACACCACTCACCCCAGTTTCTCTTATTACCATCACTCTCTAACTCCTTAAGATGGTCCTGACAAGTTGTAATCATCTTAGCAGAATTAGTAGTGTGAGTTTTGTGCCATGCAATTAAGGCTTTCCTCACATTTCTAATCCTGCCTTGAATGCTATATAAAGGAGGACCAGTTACAGGTAAATTCCAAGCCCTATCCACCACTGTCATGAAACCCTCTATCTTTACCCATCTGGAATCAAACACAAATCTTTTGGGTTTCAATTTCAGAGTACAATCACTCTCCAACACCAGCATACTGTGGTCAGAAGAGATGACTGAGATGTGTTTAACAATGGCATTAGGGAAGTGAGAGAGCCACTCATGAGAAAAGAAAACTCTATCCAATTTCGCTTCAATAAAATCAGGGCCCTGCCTGAGGTTTGACCAAGTAAATTTATGCCCTACAGTGTTGGTCTCACTCATACCCATATCATGAATCCAATCCCTGAAAGGTTGAAAACTAGCCTGCTCTCTAGGCCTACCCCCATTTTTATCTTCATTACACAAAATTGCATTAAAGTCACCCCCCAAAAACCACTTATCAACCCATTGATTCTTAATACTAAGCAAAATATCCCATTGGACTATTCTAATATCAAAATCAGTACTGGCATATAAAAAGATACCCCACTGGGTAATATCAGACCCTATGGTGTGAAATTTGACACCAATACAAAAGTCAAGACAGAAATGATCCAAAATAGTAACATTACTAGACCAATAAAGAAGAAGACCCCCCTTATCCTCAGTAGGATGACAAAACAACCATATGTTATCAAATTTAAGTTTTTTACAAACTGACACTACAAATTTTTCTTTCTTTTTGACTTCTGACAAAAACACCAAATCTGGGAGGTGAGCTCTTAAAGCTTCTCGCAATTGGGAAACTGTAGAGGGTCCCCCCAAACCTCTACAGTTCCACACACATACTCTCATTTAGACCCTTGGGACCATTTTAGGCTGGTCTCCTCCACCATTTTAGATTCATTAAGGCTGGATTTTTTGGCTTTTTTCTTTTTATCTCCACCCTCTTCAGAGGAAGAGGGTACCTGAAGACAATCTGTTATGTTCCTTTTAAGACCAGGAACACTAGCAGAAGGAATAGCAGGATACATTAATGGAACCTCCACCACCATGTCCTCAGGGACAGTTGGTATCATTGGTTTAAGTTTCCTAACATACTTCTTCCTTTTCTGAGTCTCATTGGAGCTTGTTGTCATGGCCTGAATGTCCACTTCAACAAGTTGAAGTTCAGAGTCAACATGAGAAGACTCAGAATTTGGGGTTTGAGAAGGATGAATAGGTTCTATATTAGTCCCTACCCTTCCTTCTTCATTACTTTTGATTTCTGTCATTTTCTCAATCCCCAATCCTAACTGGGCTGAGGAAGAGTCACCTCTACCAGAAGATTCACTCATTCCACTACCCTTTTACCCCCATCTTCTTCCTGACTAGACACTTTAGTAGATTGGTCCATACTATTATCTCTAGATTCAGAGGATTTAACTGTTTTAACATCATTCAAAGAAATGTGAGTGGCTCTCAACCAATCCCCATATTGACCAACATTAATCACATCTCTATTCAAATCATCTTTCATATTAGGGCAGTTTTTATCAACATGCCCAATTAGGCCACAGTAAAAGCAGAATGATTGGAGGTTTTCGTACCTGAAATCGACCCATAAAGATTCTGGTCCCAGCTTCACTTTAGTACCCCTAGGAATAGTCTCCCTTAGATTCAGCTCCACTTGAATCTTGATCAGATTGCCATGAGGACTGCCCGCTCCTGGAGTTTGCACATTCAAAACTTTCCCAATTATCTTCCCAATTTTGAGACCCATCTCCGCAGTCAGCCAATGAAGAGGAAGGTTATGCACTTGAACCCAGGTTTTTATCTTCTCCTCTTCCCTAGAAAACTCAGTTGCCTTCGGATCCCATTCTTTGAGAAGGAGGTACTGCCCATCGAACGACCAAGTCTTTCCGTGGAGAACCTTCTGTTTGTCTTTTTCAGATTCAAATATGAATTGGAACAAGTTTATCCCAATGTTCCTGATGGAAAATTGTTTCTGAGTGACCCAGATACTCCCAAGAGTAGCTTTCAATCCACTGAAATTGACCTTCTTTTCTCCATAGACCTTACCGATTAAACTCAATCTACAATCCTTTACACCTAAAGCGAAATCATGTTCTTCAATTTGCAGCCCCGATTCTTCCTTTTCTGATAATTTGAACTTTCGTATCTTCTCTGTTAAAAGCTCCGCCATTGCTATCAGTAAATGGAACCTAGCCCACTTGGCCTTGAAGGAAAACTCCGACCCAAGAGAATCTATACCTAAAAAAAGAGACAAAAAGCAAAGGTTTAAAGCAGAACCCTAACCCTAACGACGACGAAGAAGAGGGAAACCCTAAAACTATGCACAACAAACCCCAGAAAGGAAAATCCAAGAAAAAAGACAAGATGGAATCACTAAAGAGCCAGATCGCTATGAGATGATGCTGAAAAGAAGAAATGAGAAAGCCAAAGTAAGAATCCTGAACTCAGGAACTAGCATCCCAGAGGGGAAGTTTTTTTCTCACTAGGAGAACTCCAAACCAGTTAAATGACAAATAGCAATTCAATTATTAGAATGTCTCTCATCGAGGTGCCACTAGCAATTTCACTGTTGCTAATATATATTTTTTTTTTTGCTCAATTTCTAACTAGTACAGAGCCCGTGCGATGCACGGAGTGTACAATTTTAAGACAATTTATCCAGCCTTATAATTATACAAATAAATAAAGAAAAATGTACGGGATATATATAGTACGTGACCTATGCGAGACACGAGATATATTTATTTGGGGATTATTATATTATAAGATGCAATATTCAATAAAAGTTTTACAATAGCAGCAAAATTGTACAATAAAATAGTATTCGACAAAGAAACAATCATATATTATTAAAGACCTTGTACACAACATTATGAGTTTGATTATTGAGAAACTCCTCATTCTCATAAACTAATATCTTCAACCCCTTCTGTTAGTTACACGCGAAACAGCAACATATCATTGGACATGACTAAAGACAGGTTTCTTAAGAAAAAGACCAACGTGAGATAAAGACTGTCCTTGACTCTTGTTTATGGTCATTACATATGAAACATATACAAAAATATCTAAATACATACACGAAAATATAAAAAAAAATAAATATATACGTTTCAAAGTTCGGAATTAAAAAAAAAATCAAATAATTTGGCAGTTTTATCATGCAGAACCAACTCGAGATATTTCCGACTTGGATGTAGACCCTTGACTTCTTTAGCCCTAGATGGGCCTTTATATTCACAGGTCGGGGGTGTAGCCTTAACCCCCCATCCCAAGCTAGGATGTTTATATATAAAAAAAAAACCAACTCGAGATATGATTTGTACGTCCTGCCCTAGTCTTGGAAAAACATTCTCACAATTCGAACTCTAGCATAGGTTTATTAAACCTATTGACTTGTTTGATTAAGCGAAATCCTTTATTCATTGTTTTGAATAAAAGTCTGATCGGGGATATTTTATATTCGCATGATGTTGATGGTGAGGAAGATAATGGCTTGATATTTTAAGATTTTTAATTTATAATGGATAGAGTAGATATATATTGCTGTTAATATTTTTATGAAAAAATCTGAATATACAGAAATCGATTTGAACAAAATCAGTACTGATTTCCATACAATTAGATAATAAATAAAGCCTTTTTTATTTTAATAAAGATTTTACGTACTTTTTTTTTACTTATCGGATGTTATGAGATTTTTTCTTCTTAAACCGATTTTATGGGATATAAGACAAATACAATTAGATGATTGAACAAAATCAGAACAGATTTTCATAGAATTTGATAATGAAAAAGAATTAGATAAGGAAATTTGAATGTGCCTTTTTTTAGTAGAAATATAGACTTTACGTACAATTTATGACTTCACCGATTTTATAAGATTTGTTTTTGACTGAATCGATGTTTTGACGTAAAGATTTTAGACCTAAAGATTTTAGGTACTTTTTTTTAATAAGAATAATTAAATAAATATTTATATACAAATAAATAAAATAATTATATAAAATTATTTTTTTTTAATTTTTAATAAAGATGTTACGGGATTTTTTTTTCTTAAACCGATTTTATGGATAAAAGACAAATAAATAAAATAATTTTATAAAATTCTGAATAGAAATAACAATGCATTAATTACGTTGACTTTTCAACCTACTAAATTTGGTAAATATGATACCTTATTATATAAGTATAGATTGCTTAGGTAATGAAATATAATAAATCAGACTCAACATGTTTTCATAAAACTAATTAACTCAATAATTTTTATACTTTTTTTTTACAGAAATGACTCCACGTGAGATGAGTCGTAACTCCATTACCCCTAATTCGTTTTATAGATGGCTTTTCACCGTTCAACTTCGCACCTTTGGAAAGATGAACTACAAGTTATCTGTCTCCTTACGACACCACCCAACACAACCTTGGTTCGTTTCCTACTTCAGGCGTACAAGAACTCAATTATAGGTATAGATGAAAATTCTGACAGCATATTGTGAAGCCAAAGCCTTTTTTTAACTCAAATAAAATTTATTACAAAAGTAATCTCCTTTAGAGTGCAGAAATTACTTTAGCATCTCATGGTAGAGGCAAAATAAACATATATAAAATTTCTGGAAAAGAAAATTACAACTCTTAACACTCAATGTAATTCAAACTATTATATTGATTTTATTATAGTGAGAAAGCTGAAAAGAATGATCGACGTCTTTTGTTTCCTCCAAGCATCCTTTTATAGAGGGTTGAGACCCTCTATTACAGCTTCTATCGACGGTTCGTGAATGCTTTGTTGGCATCACATGCTCTTGGGTTCGAATTTTTGAATGATTGCTCAACTCCTTTATTAAAAGTGACATTTTCTTCTTCACATGGTTTGGTCCATGTTGTCTTCTAAGTGCCTTTTTTTTTATGATTCAAGTTTTCCTCAATTTCTACCCAAAAGAAAACTCGTTTTATCTTGTAAACTATTATAGTGGTAGGTATCAGGCCGCAGTCAACTTGCTTTCTTTTTGGAAATTCATTTTGAAATTCCCTTATTCTTCTTCGGGTTACTCTTTTTCTTTGGGCATTCTTTGTTGTCTGGAAAAGGGTTTCCGAGCATTGGTTTCTCCTTGCTTGGACAACGTTGACAAATATGCTCATGAAATTTTAAACCATGTAACCTATTACACGCGTTATAGCGTGCATATTCTGTCAATGCTAACTTGTTTTCCCATAAGATTTTTTTTGTCGAATAAATCGTTAGCAAACTTTGAAGAAGTTGCGGTTAATGGGTTATGTAAAGAATGTTCCATTAAAGAATTTTAAAGTATTTCAAATGAATATTTTACTTTATCCATTTCAGTTAGGCATACTCATACTCCATATGTCACTCTCATCGTAATTTCATATTCTTTTCATGGCGGTGTGTAATGGAATTACCGCAAGTGTCTTGATTTCGTTCAGGTTCCTTTTATTTGACAATTGTAAACTATTAAAATGAAAAACAACATGCTTTCCATGATCACTTGTAGGCTCTGGTGTTATAGAGATGAACTTGAAGAGTTTCTCCTTTTTTCAAATATAGGTTATAGGACCATAGCATATACGGAACCTTTGTAACCCATTCTGGCAACCCAAATATTTCAAAAGCCCAGTGCCACCGTAAATATTGTGGCAATGGCCCCAAAATCAGACACTTTCTTATTGCGGTTGGATCAACTCCTTTCAGTGTCCATACCCGTGGGTATAGTCAGATATATCGACAATAAACCTTTCAGGCTTAATGCATCTTCTTGTTACTAAGTCTTCATGGTAGAACTGTATTCCCCTAAAGAAGTAGGAAGACTAGTAGTTTCATTCGTGTCAACCTTTTTCTGGCTTGTCTGAGGCCTCAAATTGACCTCACTCTCTTTTGCCCCAGAGTGATGGGTTGACTATTAACTATTGATTTTAAATCCGCAGTTTTAGTTTCATAAGGTTCTGAAGAAGAATTTTCATAAGTAGAATATGCTTCATCAAGTTGAGGTGCCTGATCTTCCGTTTCAGGTTTCTATGAAGCCTCTTCATTTTGAAATGTCTTTTGGTTCACCAATGGTGGACCTGCCTTTTAAATGGGTTCTTAAAGTGCGTCCCATAGTTGGGTTTGCTCCATTAATGCCCCTTGATCGTTGAATCAACCTTATTCATGTCGACCTGCTGAATATTTATAGCTACTTTGGCATTAATTCTGAGTAGCTCGAAACTTGTGGACACCACCTTGATATATTTTCGAAGATGCCTTATTCTTAATGACCATGTTTGATTCAGACAACTCCATCTGATGGGCTTAATTGTCTTATTCTGCAAACAAGGCTTGGGAGACCCCACGAGCGACGACGTGGGGGCTCTTTTCATTTTTAAGAAATCCGGGGAGACTGACAATTATTACAGCTCGATCTCCCCATGAGTTGACAAGTCGCTCGTTTATAAGGTCCCAGAGTCGCTGCACGGATACATGCCGGAGTGTTTTGGGTCTCCGGCAGGTGGAAGACGCAGGAGGCAGCTCGACATCCGTTCACCGGTTTCATTTTCGACACAGGTGAGCCTCTTATTTTATGACTATTTTCTAATTGCGCGCTTTCTTCCTGTGCTAACAGGTCGGTATTTCCATTTCAGTCCACAACACACGCGTTGAGGTAAACGACGACCTAGCAGAGAAGGTCGGAGTTTCGCTGGGGCTTGAAGAAGAAGAAAGCTTCTATCGTGACCTGGTATCCGAAGAGAGCCTGCTTACTTACGGTTTGTGCTCGGAGTCCGGCAGCGGCTACTTCACCCCAGGTATAATTACTTTCCCTCGGTTGCGTTATGTTCTTAATTGACTCGGTACTTATGTTTTCCTTCACTTCGGCAGTTTACTATCCGTTGCATCAGGGGTGTGGGCTCCGCTCCGTGAAAGAGGCGAACAAATACGCACGTAATAACACCAACCCTCTAAAAGAGAGAAAGAAGATGGCGAGCAGGATGTCCTTTCTGATGAAGCAGGGCAAAAAGGCCTTGGCCTTGACTTCGGCGGGAACGACCAGCGCGGTTCCCCCTACCCCGGTGCCTTCGGCCCCGACATTCGTGAAGGTTGATGCGTCTGCAACTAACACGTCGGTGGCTGGCCCTACTCGCTGGGTCGAGCTGGCGGCCGTGGTGGAAGAACTGGTG